GTAATAAAAAACAAAATTAAATTTTGATTTGATTTGATGAAAACTACAAAAACTCCACAAGGCCATGTATGGAAGCTATTTCTCTAAAATCTATGAATTCATTGAACAAACGTCTATGCAAAAGCCATGGGTAAAATATACAATAAATAAATAATACTTATGTTAATTTGTAAACAACTTAAATAAATTAAATTATGTAGGTAATGCAAAATAAGATTGTTTTTGTTTTAACTTGAATAACATTTCGTAAATGTGTAGGTAGTCAAGATAATTTTGTTTAGATTGGGAATAGAGTTGACACACACATCTGATAAAATTGGTACATACATTAAAATAACTCTGTTGTTTCGCACCTATGTAAGGATATAAAATAATGTTGTCTGCATTCAGTTATAATTCGAATTATTATTATAACTGGATTTTAATCTTCAGCTACTTTATTAATAACTAGCTTTCCGTCCGCGACTTCGCACGCGTGGACTACATTATCCACATATTTTACGGAACCCTATTTTTTTCCAAAATAAAATTAGTCTATGTTACTTGTGGATAATGTAGCTTTCGAATGGTGAAAGAATTTTTAAAAACGGTCCAGTAGTTTTTGAGCCTATTCATTACAACCGAACAAACAAAGAAAGTTTATAATATTAGTGTAGATAAGAATAAAAATAATGATTTTACGTCACATTATATTTATTTACTTACACATTCAAAAAATTATTACTACCTGTTGCTAAAATTATGCACATAATTTGTGTTGTGGTAATGTATGTGTATTTTCTATTATTAGCATTAGTCACAATCATAGAAAATGATTTTTTCTTTGGAATAATTCATCACACCCTGATTGTATTGGGTGGGAATTTGCATAAATATTACTTACACCACCATGTTTAGACGTGCTGCTTATACCAATTAATTACTTTAAAATATAGGCAAATAAATCATACTTACACTTCTTTTTTACAAACAGCCCACTGCTTGGTTCTCTAGTGACGATACACGGCCAAAATGGATACGTGCCCATCCTGGCCCAAGCCAGGTCACCAACTTGGTACTCACATTTAGCCTCCATGTCAAATATGTCACTTTTAGACGGAAATTTTATGTCTCTATTCTCCTTCTTCTTTTTTTTATTGTCAAAATCAAGCGTTTTAACAACAGAAGAGTTACTCAAAAATCCGTTGTGAGATTTTGTATTGTCATTACTTGTGTTCAGACTGTACTTCTCAGACGATCTTTCTAGAATATTATTCAGATGATTATTACTTTTCTGACCGCTTTTGGAGGGTGAAAACATATTTTTAATCAGCATAACAGTCTCTTCTTTCTCCCGTTTTTGTATTAAATCCTTACGAACATATACTTTGGGGAATTTGTTTGCTGGCGATTTGTTCTTCTTCTCATCTGAACCGAAACGGCTCAACGAAATGTTTTCATGGTAAATATTCTCTATTTGATTTTCTAAGCCGTCTGCCAGGATAGGAGCCTTTATAGGAGTTTCTTTGTGTTCTATCTTGATGGGAGAGTTTGAGGCATGCATTTTGTATACAGGAGACTGTATTTTAACAGGCGTCTTATCACGAACTGGAGATTGTATAAGCTGTATGCCTCTTTCAACGTCAATATAATCGGCCTCTTGTTTGACACGTCTGCTCCTGCCATAACGGCTTGTGTTCCCAACACTATTTATGACAGGAGAAGTGATATGAGCTGTCAAGCTTGTCTCAAGCTCCCGTTCAATCAAAGACCGTTTCTTCGGCTTTGCCTTGACAAAAAGTGGACTTTCCACCTTCACAATATCCTCAGAACTCATGTTATCTTCTGATTCTTCCATTTTAACAAGTTAAAAGACGAATTATGCCTCATACACGTCGCTGACGTAATTTTAGGATAAGCAAAATCGAAAATCAAATTTTGCTCAATGTTACAAAATTTTCAATGCAACATGGATAAAAAAATTGCATTCGCAGCCGCATAGGGCTCTAAACCGATTCAGATCGCCACATCATGCCAGGATTGCATATCTGAAACAAAACAATCGAAATGAAGTTCTGTATCACGAAACAAATAGGTTATTCAAATATTTGCATATAATATCCTCTGTTATCGCCGCTAAAACACAATTTTCTGAATTAAAAACTACTTTTCTTACTTACGGTCGCATCCTGCCTAGTCGTGACCTCAGAAAGGATCAAGCACAATCAACTGTCCATCGTGCTAGGCGGTCTCCTTGGTGTAACACCAAACACACAAAATCGAAAACTCGGTTTCCTTTTTTGCAAACACACCAATGTTCATATAATTCTTCTGACCCTATTTTCACGTAGGCTTGGTTAAACAGCATCAGAAACATTAACCAGAAATAGCAGCGTCAGTATATCGCTCGAACAAAGTCCCAATTTGCTAACGAGTATGGAGCTAGCCCAGCACTCTCCCGCGCGCCATCATATCTTTATTTCACTAATGTCGCTTATCCGCAGCACTGTGTCCAATTGTAGCTTTTCAACAAACGATATCACTTATTATCTCAAAATCTAAACACCAAACATGAATTATTTTGAAGTAATTTTGTATTTAGAAAAGAAAATAAGTTCAACGACGCTCAGTACCGCGAAAACCAACATGGAAATGATTTTGATGTGTGCGTGCGAGTTTTTTTCGTAAACACACTTTGCTTCATACACACACTGATATAATTTCACACATGCAAAGCACAATGGCTTCTCGAGGCTGTTTTACCGACCCTTTCAAAATGTGATCGTTTTGGTTGACAGATCAAGGGATGGGATGAATAAAATAATTAAGTGTGCGATAAATACCTAGATGTAGATAATTTCTTCATAATCATTATACAATGAGGATCAGTACTGTTGTAGAAAATTCAATAAAACTAGTATCTACGTTAATCTTTAAGACATAAGAAAGATATATCTTTTTGAATTATCCAAATCGGACCATTACTTACGAAGATATTAAGTAATAAACATAGGCCGTTTTTGCCGCTAAAAGTCAACGTACGCAGGGCCACGTGACGTCATTATATCCGAATCGAGCGCAGCCGGCGTACTATTGGCATGGAAAATATTTTTTTCCAGCTAAACTATCAGTTTTAGAAAAAAACTTTTTATAACATTTATTCATCAAAATAAAGTAACCTATCGACCAGTAATTTTTAAAAATAAAAATTGTGAAAAATAAGTATCGCTATGTCCAAAAACCACATTTTCATAAGATTCGATGCAATGCGGAGACGCGGTTGGGGTGAGTGTAATTTAATGATTGTTTGTATTGAACATAATAATACATAATATGATGCTAATACCCAGTTTCTGGCCTGGGGGGGGGCTGCAGCAGCTGGCCCGCCCATGGGAACGGCGAATAGATAGGTAGGTACGTAGGTTTAACTCAGAAAAACTAAATAACAGGTAGGTATTGCGTGTACATCGAAATGATCTTCATAGCAATGTCTTGTAGCCTAGGGAGAGTGAATCTGCCTCAGCTATACCTTATTGTTAGAAGTAAATAAATTAATACTTATACATTTTTATATTTTACTTGGAAGAAGATATGACTCTAACAACACTTATGAACACTTTATTTGAATAAATCGCCAAATATACCACCGCGGAGACCCCAATCGCGTCTCTGCGTTCCATTGAATCGTATGAGCGTATGGATTTTTTGCGTTATTTTTCACAATTTCTATTTTTAAAAATTACCTATCGATAGCTTACTTTATTCTGATGAATAAATGTCATTACAAGTTTTTCTCTAAAACTGATAGTTTGGCTAGAAAAAAATATTTTCTATCCACGCAGTACGCCGGCAGCGTTCGGATCGGATATAATGACGTCATCGTCCCCGCGCCGGGCGGTCAGTGAACTTTTTTAGTAATTTGGCCATAACTTCGTCAATTTTTGTCGTAGAACAAAAATTTTTGGACTGTGTATTAAGGATTTCTTAGCCCTATAAATCTGCATTCACAGCTAAAAATCGAAATGATCCTCATTTATAAATACATACATGAAGTGTGAGTGTGATTAAAAACGTGGTGTTGCGCTAAGGTTTGACCTGCATATTTTGCAAGCAACTTCTTCTCTCTTTGATTGCTAATAAATGAAAAAAAAAATGTGAAGAAATAAAAACTTGGATTATTCAAATGATTATCATTAAAGTCAAAGGAATTGCTTTATACTCTCTGAGACACAATTTTCATTTCCTCTTTACTTCCATTTTAAGTTGTTCAGCTGATTTTTCAATCGTAGAATAAGATTATAACTAAAGAATAAACTTACCATTTTAACTTTCACAGCGCTTTTTACCACCCCCACCACCCCCGCGTACCCCGCTACACCACCGAGCACATGCAACCGCCGTCCCGGGAGAGTGGGGGGACTGTTCGATAGTTCGCTCACGTAATAATACCATTTTCCTGATTTCATAGATTTTCCATGATTTTTTTTTGCCATTAGTGTCGTGTATACTACCACCCCTGTGCCCCGATTACGGTATTTTTTAACGTCTCGAATCCAGACGCGCATCTTCGATTCTGCGATACGATTGGTCAAAACAGCATACGTCAGCTGTTTTGACCAGCGTACGTCAGCTGTTTTGACCAGCGTACGTCAGCTGTTTTGACGAATCGTATCGCACGTTAAAAATTACCGTAATCGGGGCTCTGAAATGGGCGTTGTTTTACAAAACGACACAAAAAAATAACGATTGGTTCAATTGAAAACACCCGATTTCTGAATCGATACATCGCGTCGCTAGAATTATTTATTGATTCTTCATATTGAAGAAGCGGTAAATAGGTTTATGGTATGAGATTAGGTATGAGAGATATTACTTAATATTTTTTGTATGTAAAAACATACAATGAGAAATACTCAAAAATACAATGAATTGAATTATCAATTAAGTAGTCAAATACATAAATTCTGTATAGGCACAACACTATTGATTTTGATTTGATTGACGTTTCAATATTTAAAAAAATAAAGTCAGGCAGGAGAACGATCTTGCGTGTTTATTTCCGAATATCGAATAGTTTTAATTTTATAAAAATTTACTTAAATACGAAGATCAGCAATGTCTGTAGTGAAGCTAAAAGACAACAAGCCCGAACCAGTGGCATACAGTGACGCTGCGTTGAGGAATAATGCCGCTGTGGTTGAATATTGTAGAACCTCAATGGCAGCCCTTTCGGGCTCCACTGCAGGTAAATTATTGTGAATTCGCTACTAAACTGCGAGATCTGATTGTATTCTACTGGTTAAACTTGCGTCTGCTACAAGTGTCCACTAAATAAGAGCCAAAGTATCGATTACATGCAGTTGTAATAGGACAACTTCATGTAATCCCGACTGGTCCACCACATAAAAATACTGCATTAAATGATATTATTAGAAAAATTCCACTACCTATCTAAAAAGTTTGAGCAACTCAATGCCTTTTTTATCTGTCCTTTGTCACATTTTGTAGCCTTTGCTTCTGTTAAAAAAACCATATACCTAACCTCTTTTTTCAGGAGTTCTTGGACTGACCGGTTTGAATGGATTTGCATTCTACGTTTTCTCCGTGGTGGTTCTATGGGTTATGTTCATCATCAAAGCCGGCCCGAACTGGCACAAGTACTACGTCTCTAGACAAAGCTTGCTGACGAATGGATTCTTCGGAGCGTTGTTCACTTATGTATTATTCTGGACGTTTATATACGGAATGGTTCATGTATATTAGAGTTAAGATTAGATTAAATGTTTTATATCAAGTTATGGATGGTTAATCGATTGTATTTATTTTATTATGTATTTAAATTGTTTATTTTCTTGTGGAATGTAAAAAGAATGTGAAACAAGTTTTGTTTCATATAGGATAGTCCTGCTCAGATAGGTTTTGGTATGTCACAGTAACTTTTAAAAGAACACAAAATTATTGTTAAAATTTAGGACCTTGCTTCAGCAATCTGCATGCATTTATACATTCATGTCTACTATGATATTGTATTAGTCTGATAGACAAATAGAAAATTGTAATAATGTAACATTACAAATAAAAGCACGTAGCAGACAGAATTCTGGCTACAGGAAAGTTACTTAGCCGATTTTGATAAACAAGGAGGATTTCACATCTGTGTTGTTATGTTTTCTCAAATATTCCATATAGTTAAGCTATAATAAGGAAGGAAATAAAAGATGTTAATGGCACATAATAATTTTATTTAACAGAACCTGAAGTAAACCAACATAAAAAAGATTTTATTATTTGAGTATAAAATACATTTCTCTTGACAAGAAATAAACTCAAACATTCATATTCACAATACTATCTAATAAATGCTTTCAATTATTTTATTAGATAAAAATTCAAACAAGTGCAAAAAAGTAGATTTAAGTATTTTACAGCGCCATCTAGTGACAACTTAGAACAAAAAAATAATCAAATGATTTTTTGTTTTTCACAATAATATAAAGTTTCGAATTTCCTTAATAACAAAATAATTTTCTTCTTGTGGAGATTGCGTTTAATGACCTAACTCTGAGAATGTGAGATATGGTGAACGCTATAGCTATAATATGTAGACTTCAGTTTTTCGAAGAGTAATTTCGTGCTTCGGAGACACGTTAGTCGTCAGTCCAAGTCAGCCCTGGCGCCTAATTCATGTAGAAAAAAAAAATCTTGTACTATGAATAAACTAGATAGGTAGGCTACGTAGGTAACCTAAGGAGTAAGTAAAGATATTTCATATCCAAGTTAATGTGTATATTGTCGTGCCCTCCAGCTATAAGTAATAATGTCTGTATGTCTTGTTCACTTACTTGAGAGTCCCTTACACTGGACGGTACGATTTCTTGTCTCAAGTCAATGAGACGAGTCTTGTTTCTATGTCATGCTAATACGGTACTACGGTAAGTTACTTATGTAGGTAGATCAAGTATTCCCAAAGTGGTGGTGGTCGATATGGACTAAGTGGTAGAGATGATTTTTAAAGTGCCTAGGTACCTACCTACTTACCTACTCAATATTTGGCTATAGACTCAAAGTAAAATAGTAAGACACGGGTCTTAACGCGAATAGACTCAAAAACCTAATTTCATTTCGAAAAATTGGTCTATGTCTCTTGCCTAAAATAGATTTGGGAATCCCTTACCTACTTACTTATCGGATGGAGAACCAGACTCAGAAGAGTCGGATTTCAAATGGAAATGTAGGCCGTTTTCCAGTTGGTTCTACCTACTTACTTAAGCTATTTAAAACTAGCTTATAACTAAAAGCTAGGTCGTATGATGTTGGTCGTATGGGCCTGTGATGCCTGTCTCTGTTCAAAAGAAAGTTAGGTAGGTAGGTTACGTAGGTAAAGTAAAAAGTAAAAAAAGTAAAAAAGTATTTATTACTAAAAGATGTCACATTGTACAAATTATTCTGGCGGTCTCTGCACTAAGCAGGAAAGCTTGTATCGCAGCGGCCAATACGAACAATTACCTTAAAAATAATGACATCGGTCTTAATAGGACGGACATGTTTAAACTGGTTTAAACTAGTTAACAAGTTAGGCTTAACATTTATAAAGTGTTAAAATACAGGGTGTTTGGCGCATCGTGTGCACTATTAAATTAAGTAATGCCCGTTTTCACCATCATTCCCTAATTTTTAAGTGATGCCTACTTAATGATAACACATAACAGGAATTTTGTTTTCATAGGGGTCACTTAAAAATTAGGAATTGATGGTGAAATCTGAATGAATTATCGTGACACCTAAAGAGCCTCAATCTAATCTCTCCATAAGTCTGGCGATGGGTTATCGGATGTCTATCAGAGTGATAGCCCATTAATAGCTCCACTAACTTATACAGCTGCTATGGCAATCTTGTGGTTTTGTTGCTATCATGTAAGTAAGTTAGGTAGTAGTAGGTACTGAAAGTTTTAGTATGGAGAAGTTGGAAACTAGTTGTAGTTTAACAAGTGCAAATCGGAAGCTAAATAGGTATTTGTTTGTAGTGGAAAGTCGTGAAAACTGGAAAAGTATAAGTTACCGGAGAAAATTAATTGAAAACAAATCAAAGGTACAAATAAAAAAAAAAATCACCGGAAAAGACATTGACAAACGAAAAAAAAAGTAGGTAGGGGAGAGTGGGTAACAGCGGATCACGGGTCACAGTGGATTATTCGCTATAATTCTTACGTCTGATGCTTTACGCACACAAGCAAACGCGTGGCTACTGCACGTCGATACCCCCCTCTCACGTGCCAGTCGCCGCCGCGCTCGCCTAACGGTATCACTTGCTGTCACACGCAGACTAGAAGGTAAGTACGAAAGTATTTTTTTTCGTAATTTAGAAATTTGTCGTATTTCCAATCCTTTTATAAATATAAATGATAGTCGTATGTTTTGAACTTGTTATTTGATAAATCCGTTGTGGGTAATGTAATTTTGGCTTGGGTATAAGTAGTTATTTTTTGAATATTTTTTTTGTGTCGTACCGGCCTATGGGTCACAGTGAATAATTTTCATTTGGGTCACAGCGGACTGTGAAAATATTTGTTTTTATAGTTTATTTTTTGTTAACGATTACTGAAAAAGTAATAATTTTTATTTTTAATAATTGATATATCAACAATTTTCCTATTAAAGTATATATTAATGATTACTCGAGGAGTAAATATATTTATGTTTAATAGTTGAGTTACCATTTAACAAAATTCTTATTAAAATGTATGTTAATGATTACTGAAGAAGTAAATTATGTTTATTTGAATAGAGAAGAGAACTTTGTGGAAATGAAAGGAGAAGAACTGTTGTTTATTTAAACAAAATGTTGATTAGTTTAGGTCTCTTTACACCAGCATAATATGAAAGACTTGTTAATTTTTGATAAGACTGTGATAGAAGGCTGTCTTAGAATATAAATAAATAAATAATTATGAAGAAAATTGGTATTTTATTGAACTTTTTTTTAAAAGATCCAGTGTACCCCAAGCGATTCCCTGTTACCCATGAAAAGATCCAAAGTGACCCATCCACGGGTCACAGTGGATAATTTCCCATTTTTTTTAAAACTTGTTATAACTTGTAAATTTATGCCGTTTTTACCAATAATTGCTACTGGTTTTGTAGATTAGGGACATATCTTGTGGTTAACTATCATAGATGAATTATTTACGCATAAACTTGGGATTTGTGGAGCTTCAAAAAAAAAGTGATCCATTGTTACCCACTCTCCCCTAATTTACGTTGACAAAAGCCTACATAAAACTATTATAATAGCTATATTATAGAACGTTGAATAAATAATTATTTTCCATTAAAAGTTGTTGCATTGACTTCCAAAGTTTCCGTCGATTTATTAATTGTTTTTTGAAATTGAATCAGTTGACTTGCCGCGATAGATGGCGCTAGAAGCCAATTCTGGAGCCGTTCGATTGGCCATGATTTGAATTTAGAAAGTGTTCAATTAGAATTTATTTATGTAAAACACATGACTGCTTACATAATGTCATGATTTTCAAAACTGAAATGTAAAATGAAAATACCTACCTACTCTTACTTATTGTGATAACCGCTCTAAATTGTGTGTGTTGTGTAATCTCAGTGCTCGTGAAAAAGTGTCGAATGGATAACACCTACTCGTCGGGTCTGCTCCCGTGTCTTGGCTCCATCCAAGATCTGGCTGAAGGCGATCCTGATCCCGCAGGTTAGTGAATTTTTAAATATGACATTTGAATTTACTTGCCGCACCATTCTTTATCTAACGTTTTTCTTAGCGAGTAGGTTTAGTTAGGCCATTACGAAATCTTATTTTTGAGAATATACCTAGGTACTTAAATGAAAACCGTGCAAAACAATGTTTCGATAAGTTCGATAAAATTATAGGCAAATTATGTTATTCGAAAGTCGAAATCCGTTCAGTAGTTTTTACGTAAAAGAATATCAAACTTCCTTCCATCCTCACAAACTTTCACATTTCTATTACGAGTATATAAGGGTAGGATAGGATTCCCTTTTCAACCTAGCATTATATAACGGTTATTGTATAATATGAAACCTCCCTGATATTGATACCTAATATGCCTGCCTGATACAGCTCGAGCTCAATGAGGCAATCTCGCGGTTTTGTTGCGAGTGGCATGCAGCGAGTTTGAACGGAGTTCGTATCTAGTTCGATGGGTTGGTGGTTTAAGTTAGTGAGCTTAGGCACTCGCGGATGATTTTGATTTTGATTATTTGGACACACTACTGGTCAAGGAAAGATATACCTGACATAAAATATATGTATCAAAACGCAACAATTAACCTAGAAATTAGCACGGCACTAAAGAAATTTATTCAAAACTGCCACGCGGTCTCGTGCTAGATGGGCGTCTTAAAGGCCACCTTCTATCAACGGGAGCGCGTGGTAAGTAACTTGCTTCTGAATGTATGTAACTTCCTACTTTTTTATATTTTTTATATTTTTAAACCGGCAGACAGTGGTGACTGAGTTTGTTGCGGCGCTTCTTTTCAGCACTTGCCAATTAAATGTTTGTCTCGAAGCGCTGGTAGGGCAAAAAAAGAATGAGACATGTATAGGCTCCTTAAGAGCATTTGACGATTTGCAAGAACTAATTTAATTAGTCTAAACAAATAAAGATAATTTTGATTTTGATTGACTATTTGGATCAAATATGTAATTGCTCAATAATGAATAATAAAAAAATAAATAATAAAAAATGAAAACTAGGTAGCAGTCCATAATAGTTGGTAGGTTTGCCTGTCCAGAAGGGCGAATTCTACGCGCGTAGAACTCATACGCGCGTTCGCGAGATAGGTACTAGGAGCCAATACATTGCGTCCACAAGACACGCGCGAGTTGAAAATTCACGCGTAGGTACCTAAATCTCGTCATACAATATGCTCGTGTTCGCGCGAGGATTCACGGCGAATTCGCCTGGACAGACCCTAAAATAAGTATCAGAAAAAACCTTAGCTAAGCTTTTTGCTTAATCATTTAAATGTCACGTAAGGCGTCATGTTACAAACCGGTCAATATGGAAATCATTGAGGTCTATGTTCAGCAGTGGACATCCTGCGGCTGAAATGATGATGATGAAGGCGTCGTGGACACTTACCTACCTAATGCTGCTAAATGGTGCACTAAATTTTATTAGCTTTAGATTTTTTTATGCATAACAAGGCAGGT